GCTACCCACCCCAGTGACCCTTGCCAAGCCTGGAACAAGCCAGGACAGGCCCCACTGCCCTACCCCTTCCATGGGATTTGTTCCTCCCTCAGCCCTTGTCCCTGGGACCCTCTGAGCCCTCCCTACAGTAACAGAGGATCCCAGGCACCATGCTGGAGAGGGGTGACAGGTGAGGTCCCTTCTCACAGGGCAGATCTCCCTGCTGTTCATCCTCTCCCCTCCCTGGACTGCTGCAGGGCTGAGAAGCCACAAGGCAGGTACAGTTCATTTTTGCTCCTCATTGTATCTGAGCCCCCAAAATCTGAGGTGGTAGTAGAAGTGGAGCCCTTCTGCCCCACTGGGAGATGACTCCAGGGCAAGAACCAACACATAGCAGCACTGTACCCTGCTCCTGCCCCCCTTGCCCCACGTACCTGTGGAAGAGAATGGATTTCACCAGGGTGACCACGTCTCGGCTTGCATTGTGCCCAGCACAGACAATTGCCATATGCAGGAGCTGCCCCGGGACAAGAGGGATTGTCAGCCCCTTCCCAGGGCAGCACTCAGGGGCATGGAGCCCCAGCATTAAGCATCCTCTGGCACAGCCTCAGCAGAGGTTGTCACACTGTTGCTCTGACAGCTCGTACTTGATTGATACCTCCCCTCCCCTCCCTTCCTCTACTCCCTGCCATCATCAGGCTAAGGGGTCCATGCTGCTAAACATAGTCCAGGCTCCTCTGTTCTGCCCATCTCATTTCATGCAGTACATTATTTACAGGAAGAGGCTCTGCAGGAGAGAGGAGTAAGGGCAGCAGTCCACGCTGGTCTATGCCCATCACCAGCACAGTCACAACAGGTCACCGGACCCCTGCCAGGGACACTGGCCAGCACGCTTATCTGCATGGCATGGGTGGGGAAACTGAGGCAGGGAGAAAGGAAAGCTGTGCCACTGATCAGAGGCAGAGTTGGGAACAGAACTCAGGAATCCTGGTGCTGGCCACTAGCTGCCAGCTCACATGCCTGGCTGGGCACTAACATTTTCAGAGGGGGTAGGTGGGGAAGGAGCGCTGTCAGCAACATTGCCTTCAATTTCTCAGTAAGTTCCCATTAGTTCAGGAGGCCCCGGCACAGCCAGCATGCTGGGGGAGCTGTGCAAGGCAGGGCCAGTGTTATAGGGCCCCAGAAGACCCTGGTGGCTTGGGCCACGCATACAGCTGCTTTGGGGTGCTGCTGTTCCTGGGGTAGTGCCATGACTTACCTCACACTTCTGCACCGTCCGCTGCTTGGTGCAGTCTGTGCGGTTGCTCTTCTCCTCCCCTGCAGCATCCCTGTCCTCCACAGAGGCTGCCCATGGCTGGCTGCCGTCACCCCCCTCTGTGGCCCCCACCTGCACCAGGGACTGGCTGAGTTGTAGGCGCAGCTGCTGGTTCTCCTCCTCCACCCTGTGCACCTGAGACACCAAGGCCTCTCGTTCCACGTCCCGGCTGGGCTGTTCTCCAAAGCAAGGAGACAGCAGGAGAGAGCGGCCATCTGAAGGGAGACCCACCCCACCCCCAGCAACCACTGTGAGTCTACGCCATGGGACGTGGTGGGATCCTGGGTTAAGCACACTGGCTCCAGTGTGGTTTGCCCCTATACTAGGCTCTGTGAGGGAGCAGAAAAGCTCACCTCTCTGCACCAAAGCCTGTGGTGCACAAGCACCTGCCAAGCATGGGAGAGAGAAGCAAGTGCAGCAGTTGGGGCTGATCTCAGCCCACCACTGGCATGGTGATAACAGGTCACCAAAGCAATCGTGTGCCACCCTGCAAGCCCCTGGCCCAGCTCCCTCATTCGCAGCACCATGTGCTGTCTGCACCAGCCCCCAGAGGAGGTAAGGAGCCTTTCCCAAAGCGGGGAAGCCAAGATGCAGAGAGGGAAAGACCTTGGCCCAATTGTACACACCTCTTGTTATGGAAAAGCCGGGAGATCGACTCAAGAGTCCTAGCTCCCCGCTGGGGCTCAACCACCATGTGGGCCCTGTCACTCCCTCCCCCTCCCCTGTGTGACGCCCCCGGGGGCCACACAAGCTGCACTTACACTCCAGACCGCCTGCCAGGAGGTACAGCCATGAGAGGAGGATGACCAGCGTTGCTGTGACGAGCAGCAGCTTCAGCTTCCCGCGCCAGGACAGCAGCATGGCGGATATGTAGGCTGGGCAGGCCAAGGGCCGTGGCAGCAAGGATCACGTGGGCGGGCCTAGCCTCGCTGGCCCCAGCATCCTAGAGCCTAGATCCAGGAGGGTGGAAGCACATGGACAGGTCAGCTGCAGAGCCACCACCTCAGTGCCCTGGAACCCAGCTGGGCATCGACCACAGAGGCAGGAGCACATGGCCCCAGCATGCCCCACTCCAGCCAACACTGGGAGTCAGGCTGCATACAGGCCCCCAGGCCATTCTCTCCTCCCCCTGCACCTTGTGACACCAGCCTCAAAAAGGCATGCGAGGAGCCCCCTTTTCATGGCTGCTGGATCTGGATGTTGAAAGCATCTCCCTCCCTGCTTCTCTGCTGCACAGCCCAACCTTCCCCCCCACTTTTTTTTTTCTTCCTCAGTTTTTATGGCTCAATAGCAACCAGTCAGTTTGGTTTCAATTGTGACCAGAGCCCCAGTTTACAATGTGGGTTCTGGTCACAATTTAAGTGCTCCAATAAGAAACATGCACCGTGCGCTGCATACCCTCCTGTTTGGTAAAGCTTATGCACCCT